GATTCAAGACAGCAAGGGGTCAGATAATCGGTGTGAGTGCAGCGTTGCGAGCGAAGGGAGGTCCTGATAGACCGCTGGGGCTTACCTTTCGCTAAAACGCGCACTGTCTTGCACACTCAGGTACCAGATGCCTTCTGGCTGGGCGTATTTTTTCCCCTTCGACTTCCAAAGTTCTTTCGTGAGCTCCTCCTTTAGCGCCTTTGCTTGCGCGTTAATTTCCGTCTTGGACGAGCCATTGACCAAGACGTGCTGATTGCATGTGTCAATCGTGGCGGCTAATATTAGCCATCATGACAGCATCAAATTTTGATTGACCACGCATCGCATGGACAAACCAGTGGATGCGGCATCTTCAGGGAACGCTCTTCCAAAATGAGGAAGAAACGATGATGATAAAAGTCTCAGCATCTAGCACAATTCTTTCATCTTCATTCTGTTAGCATGAAGCAGCTTGGTGAGCGTGAACAATCGCGAGCGCACCCTTCGCAGCGAAGCTCGCTAGCTTCTGTAGGAGCCTCGCTACCTTTACAAAAGTATTTCTTCTAATCCACCCATATTATTGAGCGCTCATGCAGATCAATCCTATCATTCTGGAGTGTGCTTTTCAATTTTCGATTATTCAGGTCGAAAGTTATTAGCATATGATTAATTGTTGCTATTGTGTAGAACAGGTTTATGGTGGAATTTTTATTCAGCCTAACGTTTCGACAAATTCGTCGTTGTCAAAGGCCTGAAAGCGTTCCGAAACAATCAAATGCTGCCTACCCGCCTAACATGAATCCGCTTTCGGCCAAGTGTCACCCATTCTTATGAACCGCGGAGTGGAATCCATAACAATGGGTTACTCACCTCAACTCCACCAGCGCCGATACTCGCTCAGCTTCCCTCAGCGGCTTATAAAATCAATAGAATAAAAGAGGCCAACCGGTCGTGCATTGCACATACACCTTTTATAAGCAGTGCACGACCGGCTTGGTCTCTTTTATTCTACTGATTTTTTAAGCTGAGGAAGCTGAGCGAGTATCGGCGCTGGTGGAGTTGAGGTGAGTAACCCATTGTTATGGATTCCACTCCGCGGTTCATAAGAATGGGTGACACTTGGCCGAAAGCGGATTCATGTTAGGCGGGTAGGCAGCATTTGATTGTTTCGAAACGCTTTCAGGCCTTTGACAACGATGAATTGTCGAAACGTTAGGCTGAATAAAAATTCCACCATTGTTGTTCAGCAATAGCAGTGGACTTCGTTGGCAGCAGCTCTCCGTGAGCGAAACATTTGCAGCCTCATGAGCTTTCAAAGTTGCCTCCCAGGTTGCAGTTCTCGAATCGGCGTTGCAATCCTTTGTTCTACGCATCCGAGCCAGTCGTGCTTTCGCGTGCGGTTTATCTGAGGATCCCACTTCTTGTTACCACCAACAAAGTTGGCGGATCAAGCGAGAGACAGGCGGCAAATCAAAATGTCATGCAAAATTTTATGGTCTCAATAGCCAGTCAGATCACAAAATATCCTTTCGCCATAATTTCACTTCTTTTCGAGGAGATATTGAGGAGCGGCCATTGTGCTCTGATAGCACTGAAAAAGCTCCGCCTGTTAGCGTGCATTGCATCAAGGGCTCCCGTCACTGAAGGTGGCAGGCACCAGATTTGAGGGTTTTTCTCAGAAATGTGGAATTCGGCAATCAAATAATTGGCACGTTGTGAAAATAGTCTGGAGGTCCATCACAACACGTAGGCCTCCTACTGCGCGCTTCAATCGACGCATTTTGTGGGCTTATAAAGGCAGGAGCAGTCGAACATACCTTCAGTGAAGACGATTTTTAAGCTTCAAACGCTGCGAAATGCTACGACAGAAATGCTGTGGAGAGAGCATTAACCACCGCTCACATGCGTTTAACAGTGAATGTTTCAAAACGATCCCAAAAGATTTTGCAAGATGAAGAAGAAAATGCGCAAGAACTTTTCCGACAACCTAATATTTTAGAATATGGAGAATAGCATATTTTCGATGCCCCAAAATTTCGACTTTTTTTGCCCAGCGAAAATTTTGATGACAAAGAATTTCTCCCGGAAGAAATTTGTCTTCGAGCGGCTGATTACAGGATTCAACGAATCGGCTACTTCAATCTTCCTTGGCTTGATGAGTAACAGAAAAAATCCATCAAGAAGGAACGGAAGATAAGCTGACCAAAGATGCTGCTTCTACTCGCTTGAATATCGCGTCCTTTACTTCAAGAATTGAAGAAAGTGTCTGTGCGACATTACGAATGAAGACGAAAAGTAAATTGTATTAATTTTCTGGCAGCTGCAAGTGTCGTGAGTAGGTCAATCAACAAAACGAAATAGCGTGCTATTATAGGAGGAGCCCGCTCTCTTCGGGATTCAGAGATGTCATCTATCAATAACTTCGGCTACCAAACGAGCTATCATAAGTGATTACACAGTCAGCAATTGCGGCTTCAATTTAAATGGTAGTTCGATTGAAATAAAGCAGAACTTGCGAACAGAAAGGTGATAGCCTTGTGTTGCACCGACAGCAAGGTAGATGATGAGAAAAGTGGAAGGTTTCCCCTACCTTCAGCCTATTCTATCACAAACCGTGCCTCCATGACTGCCATCTTTTCTGCTCATCCGATATGATGCAGAGGGCACACTTTTCGGCGTGCCCATAGAGATTGAAAGCTAGGCTGCTCGATGAATTGAATGTAAAAACAAACAACTTTTTGCCATGTTAAGAGGTTTCGTCAAAAAAATGAGAAACAAAATAGCCTGCAATGGCAGACACTCTTATTGGTTTATTTTGCATTATGACAAAATATATGCTCGAATAACAGCAAAAATGATTGCAAACCTCGTGAACTTATGCATAAATATTATATGTAAATATGAAGTTGGAAATTTTCAGAACTACTGAACTCTTCGTATTTTGCTCATCTCGATTAGTACAGCTAAATTCACCTATATTTCCTTGACAGGCCGAAGTCGATAATGTAGATCGTGTGAAGATCGCCGTCCGCTTCCCGACCAATCGCAAAATTGGGAGGTTTAATATCACGATGTATGTAGCCACACTAAAAAATGTTGACTGATTGGGTCAATCGCTTATCCGTGCGTATCTATTTTTCTCTGCTACTACACGTTTGTTTTTTAAAGAATTTGAGAGGAAGTGGTGCAGTGGCAAGTGGCGCGCTTACCACGCGCGGTTCGGGAATCCTGGGTCGTGAGTCGCCCGGGCCAACCAAGCCTTCCATCCCTCCGGGGTCGGTTAATTGGTACCAGACTTGTCTGGGAGGATAAAAACACTGACTTGTACATCGGCTGGCCCCCGCAAGTCATTGTATAGGCCACATCGCATTCAACGCCACTACGAATGTACAAATGGAAGTAGTCGCATCCCAAAAAGGGATTGATCAACGGCAAATGCTTTATCCTTCCATTTATCCTTTTTATTCAGCGTTTCGTTATATCACTTAAGCAACTGTCATTTTCGTTTCCTGGCAACTGGCCTAACTGCGCCTATAAAGGAATGCTCTGTATAATGGACTGAGTCTGATCAAGGACATAACCGTTGACTGCTTGGATGCCATCAGAGGCGACATACAGTGAACAAGATGCGAATTCGGTCACAGAGTAACGGACGATGATCGAAAGGTAGGGAGCAGTTGTACACGTTGACAGCCGTTACGGCGAGAAGCGGCGTCTCATCGTATCGGGGTTCGCAGCCCCATGCAGTCGCATAGAGTGCTAGGGCTACCTTAACCTCCTTTCTTTCACGTCCTGCAACTGATTCTCTCTAGAATGTCAAAGAAAAATCACATGAAACATCAAAAGTGTCAAAAATGGTACGGTATGTTCACCACTTCACTATTTCTGTGCATGTGCATGATATTTCCTTCTATGTATTCAATGTACAGAAATACAATTTTAGTGAACTTACGAGGTGGAAGTCTCGGATTGCAGCAAGGGTTTGCTCAGCAGCTCGAATTGATGTAACCATCGAAAACTTGCGATTGGGACTTTTGATGCGTAGCTCCCACAGGTTGCGGCCAACCTGTAATGAAGAGATAGATTTCGGTTAGAATTGTGGGAAGGATTGCTGGGGCAGGGATAGTGGTTAAGAGGTTAGACTCATGTCTGCACCTCTGAAAACCGCGAGTTCGATCCCTGCCGAGGTTAACCATGCCTTGCAAAAATTGCAAAAATGGTTCTAGTACCAGCGTCAGGCCCAGGTTGACAGGCCGGCTGATGAAGACCCCGTCACAACAAATATGTCTAAAGTCGAAAAAGGAATCAGTGATAAT